ATCAAACACAGATCCACATATTTACGTTTCACTTCGGTGAGGTTTCCCTTCTGTAATGTAACAGAGTTGATGCAATCCACCGTAAAAGTGACAAAAAACAGACAGTTATTTTATTGCAGTGATTAATTTTACCTACCATATATGTAGAAAATGTTACATTTACATCACATCATGGATCACATATTGATCAGATGCTGCTGCTAACTGATCCATGACAAGATTTATCCCATAGGGAACAAATCCTGTTGGAATATCATATTAAAACTGACAGCAATGTGAAGGTTTATAAAACAGCGTTTACATGAGCTGATAGTTTTAGGACATTTTGGTTTAGGACTACACAGAGTTAAACTCTGTTTCTCCACTTTGAAGCCGTTCAAAGAGGTGCCTCCAACAGGTAAAGGGCTCGACACACGGGAGGCGACGTCGCTCGCTCTCCATTCATTTCCTATGGAGCCTGTGCGGTGAGGCGACAATCGCTTGCCCTCCTCCAGCTAAGCGACCGGCAAAAATAGTGCATGTGAAATTTCGCACTCGTACACGTAGACGTGCACACGCCAGCTTGGGACGCGACATATGAAAGTTGAAAAATGTTCAACTTTTGTCGCTGTCGCTTAGCATACAACCAATCAGCGAGTGTTTCATTGACTGACCAATGAGAGGAGAGTATGCTACACACTGCCGTTAGCTAACACTTTCACCAAGTGATTACTAAAAAGTTTTGTAGGAATTTATTGGCACCAGGGTGAAGTTTATGGTAAGTTTTTCCTCATAAACTGTATCTTGATGTGTGTTTGTTTTTCAATATCATTAGCATTGCAGGAGTTGTTTAGTTTACACGTCCGTAATGCACACCCGCCWTCAGAGTCAAGAACCAATCAAAWTTTGTGAAGACAAGCGACCGGAGAGCGCGATTCGCAACSCWGCGATCGCTATCGCGTCCCGTGTGTCGGGTTTTCACCCTGGCTGCGATGACAGCCGTTAATCGCTGTAGTTTGTCGCTCCCCGTGTGTCGAGCCCTTTAGCCATTATTTGCTCATGTCCTTTCCACAGAACCCCAGCTAAAGACATAATCCTAATGAGTTACTTGTGATACACAGTTGTTAAATCTCGCTTCAGGAATTTGGATCAGACTATGTTTTTACATGAGGTACGCTGCCAGGAAAGAAAGGACTAAGATTGGTGTTTCTCTATGGAACAAAAGCAAGTAAATGTGCTGCTTTTAAAACAGTACATGTGCTTGGCAACACTTCATATTCATGCCATTTTTCATCAGCCAACTCTAGAGGCTTTCAGTGTTTGGCAGGCGTTCATCTCCAACACTGAGGTGGTTAGAAAACGGGACTGTGAGAACATTTACTATTTTTCTACATCGTGGCGTGTGTGCACATTCAGATGCATCCTCGACACAAAAGGGAGAGGAGAAAAAAAAACACTTTCACGTCTGGGGAAGATTGAGGTGAGCAGTTAGCAGGTGAGGAATCCTCACACGCATTAACAGAAAAAGGAGCGACCGTAAGTCGCAGACAAACAGAGAGGGTTTGACAAGATGCTGCGCTCCTGCTGCGCGTTTCAAACAAAAACATCTTGTTTTTCTGCAGAGTGACTCAGACCAAATCATTCACTTCATCCRTTTGGATTTTTCTTACAGCAACCATCTGGTAACGCCTACGGTCCAACAGTTCCCAACAGGCACTGACACACACACACTGTTCACACATATACATACATACATACACACACACAAATATATATATATATAAAATCACAGGAGTGAGCACTTCAGACTAAACCTCACCAAAGTGTGGAGTCTGATAAACTCAACACTCACAGGAAACTCAAACACAACCTGCCTGAAAGGCTTCGTTTCATCAGACGATCGACGGTCACCAAACAACTTAAATCATCAGCTGCAGAATCACTTTCAGGCGACTCTGTGAGATATCTGCACGGAGTCTCACAGGTCCTGGGTCCAAAACCAACTGATGGAAATTATTTTGGCCCACTGCGGATAAAAAATACGCCCACTGCACCCACTCACGCGTTCACTCTCCCTGGCTGCTGATTCACGTTAAAAGCACCGGCAAACCAGCGCCGACACCCACAACTGAGCAAAAACATTTAAGTGCCACTCAAACGTGGACTCTGAGCGGCTGAGCCCACACACTCCACAGTCGTCACTATATCAGGCTTTATAAACAGTCACATAAATGGATTTTAAAAAAATCTAGGCTTGATTAGGTACAGTTTAATGGGAACTGTGTCAACACTGGGAACACGATTATAATGATTTGCTGCCATTCACTGGGTGCGGTTTCTGTTTTTTTCACTGATCACAGTTTTTATTTTCTATTTTTGTACAAATCTTCTCCATTAACTTATAAAAATCAGAATAGAGATAAATTCTTACTTCTAACATACAAAACTCTCAACAACTTGACAGTACGACAGCCTGAACGTCACAAAACCTAATTTCTCAAACCTGACCCAGGTCACCTTCATGTGCCACTAAATCAAAAACACATCTGATGTTTCTCAAAGCAACTTCAGCTGAACGATCATTCAGCTGACATTTACAGCACTGAAGAAAAGGTATGKAGATTGATCCAAATACTGATATTATTGATACCAACGTCAAGCAGTTTAAAGCTCAGAGCTCAGCATGTTTTCAACTACAGACAAGTTCAGTTTGCTTCATTTTTCTTTTGTTAGTTTAGCTTTTTTAGATTTCCACATTCTGGATGACTGCAAATCTACATTTGAAACCAACGCTGGCGTCAGACCAGCATGATGGAATCGATCCTTGAGTTTGTTTCCTCTATTTCCACACTGTCCCATTTGCAGGTGTGGACAGGAAGCAGCAAAATCAAATGTAAACGTAGAATGAAACAAGCGTAGTAAAAATCTGTTGGATTGCACAACAATGTCAGAATTGAGACTCACACTGATGTGTGTAGCATCCATATTTACTTTAGTAAACACAGCTTTGTGTTTCGCGAGTCATCACGTCTGTTTCTGCACGTGCAGCTTGCTGAACTGAGCATTAAAACCTGCAGCGTGAAAACAGTCTGTTGTGTTGTAACTGTGTGATGTAGGTCGCAGTCACGCTCAGATCATGTTTTATTTTTACTTCAACCAAAACAAAAACTAATCACTAAACATAAATCTCTGAATCTCATTAAAAGTCAGGATTTGACCCACTTAACCTCTCACCAAAAAGATGAGTAACCGCCTTCATTTCCCTAATGTATAAATTAACATATTTAGCTCTGTTTTAATATAAAGTATTTGCAGCTTCTCTCTCTTTCCTTTAACCATGAACCAGAACGGATGATCTTTCACCCTTTGAAGATCTGAATAAATAAGAAATCCTGCAGATGGGCTGCAATTTTTCTTCCTTTTAGCAATTAATTATTCTAACGGAAGATGTTGTGCCCTCAGACTTATTTAGTGGCTTTTTTTATTTTATTTTGTTTTTCCCTGCAAGGCATTTATTACACACGCATCTATAATTAAATAATTCCTCAACCTTTGTTGTTGTTGTTGTTGTTGTTTTTCAACAGAGAGGTGGTCCTTTTCTCTTTGTAGAGACCTTTCTAAAAGTTCACAATTTGTATCGTCATGTCTTATTGTGAAACATGTTCCACTTCAAGCTTCTGAATGAAAGGTAAGCTGTAAAAAAGGGATTTTTTTCTAAACGTGCTGCAAAAAGAAGCTAAAACACACTTTCTATGGTTAAAGAACATGTTTTGATCTGGATCGGGTACAAACACGTTAACGTGAAGCATCCAGCTGCACTTGAGACAATAAACCTCAAACATCCACACATGTAGGTAAATCCTGTGGAGGAATACAAAAGAACAAAGCAAATCAATAACTCWTTTCTCATATTTTCTCTGCAGAGACGAACATAAGTGAAGCAGAAGGTGTGTCTTTAAAAAGCAGCCAGGGTCAATAAGAAGCTGAGTACTGGACAAGTGGGGACAGATGTAGACATTACAACCAGACTTTAGTGAAGGCGGAGAAATAAATTAGTCATGGCATGTGAACAGCTTGAGACCTTTAGGTGGTACACAGCATCTGAATATAAATAAATTAATTCACTAAGAAAATCATTCATCCCAAAAGTACAAAAAGACTTTAACACTGCCAAAAAACTAAACAAAAGCCAGAAAATAAATTTCATATCTGCCATAAATTGCTGACCACTGTCTGTTCATAACTAAACACCACTAAAAAACTCACCCCTTAAAAWAAGACCTTAGATCAAAAAGGACACGCGTACAGAACATGAAAGCATAAAGGTCTTACCTGTGTATTCCTGGAAGCACTCACAGGTGAAGCCTCCCTCCCTGCTGCGACAAACACCGTTGGTTCCACATGGTTTAGAGTAGCAGAGGTCAATCTCAGTCTCGCAGTAGTCTCCAGTAAAACCGGTGGGACAGCGGCATCGCAGCCCTGCGATGGGGTGGATGGGCCTGAACAGGATGGTGTCAGACGCCACAAACGGCGCCAGGCTGTCGAACTTCAGCACGGACACACACTTCATGTAGTTCTCACACGGCTCACGCAGGCAGATGTTGTCATCGAAGGGGAGCACTTCCTGGGACGAAATCTCAGCCAGAAGGCTGCGGTTCAGATACAGCCTCTCCTGGAGTTCCTCTGAGCCAAAGAACTCCCCGGTTTCGGGCCCCCTCCCGGGTCTGTCGGTCCTGAGTCCCGAGGGGCGACGGTGTTCAGCTCCGAAGGCGGGCACCGCCACAGACAAGCTGACGTTGAGGATGCGAGCGCTGACGTCTGTGTCGTCCTGGATGTTGAAGATGACGACGTCTTGGGGCGCGGCCGACAGGACGCGGGCCACGCCGTCCAGGAACTGTGCGAGCAGCAGGGACAGGAAGTGCTCCTGGGAGGTGTTGGCCAGACGTAAGGTGATGCTGTTGGACAGCATCTCATCGGTGATGATGGTGACCTGGAGAAGGCACTGAGCGGACACAGAGTGGACGCCGTCTGAAAGACACACGAGGCACTGGAGGTTAAAAAACAAAGGAGCTGACATGTTCATGAACAACATCTTATTATCAATAAGCAATAACACTTTTGGCTGCATCTGTTTTTTTGTTGTTTTTTTTTACAAAAATGACTGTACCTCAGTAAATTTTAAGATACTAAGCTGAAATGTTGGGAAATAGCTCAGAGTCAATCACAAGACGTGCAGGTGCTGACAGATCATGTCAGATCACTTAAGATTCTGCATGAGATTGAGTTGACTAAAATGCCTATACCTCTGTCATTTCTCCATATAAAATGATCTCTAGTGTGAAAGGTGGTGGATGATAGGTACAGCTGCACAATATATTATTTGACATCGTCATGTACTGAGGAACTAAACCACAAGTCATTGCATTAAACAGCTGTGTGTTACAGCTTTAAGTTTTGGTGAGTTGCTTCTGCTGGTGGCAGTGGACGACTTTGTGTCAAAATCAGCTAAAACTTTCATTTTGTTGTGAAACTTCTGGGACAATAATGGCAACGTCTTTCAGAGAAGTGTTGTCAGTCGATTCTTAAGCTGTGGAGGAAGACGATGTGGATCTTGATGAAAATGAGGAAGATAAGCAAATTCTCAGAGAAGTGGAGGAAAAGAGGTATAGCATGGTAAGCATGAATGCTAATATTAATGCGACAGAAACAGAAATCAAAACTGACACAAAGGCAACGGTGATTAAACGCAACCCATGTTTGCACATGATAGAAACATACTCAGGTTCCAACACAATAAAAGTCAGCAATAAATGAGAAGAATAACAAACAACATGGGCTACTAGTAATGCACAAAAACAGGTTCATCACCAACAAGATGGCAGCAAAACTTAAAGTGTTATTTAAGTCATCTCTTGGAAATTACTGTATTTTTCATATATATATATATATATATATATATATATATATTGCAGGATTAGAAAAAAATCACAAAGTGAGTTTTTACAGTACTGCACAATTCTGCTGATAAGCATTCCTTAGGTTTTAATTTGACACAAATTAGACCTGCTTTCTTTTTTTTTATCTGAAGGGCTTGAGTATTACATAAAAAGTACGTTTCTGACACACTGAGCAGCGGTGACAGCAGATACTTAATGGTTGAAGAGTTAAACAGCTGCTGCTCGGTGGGCCACAGTTTTAAACAGAATAATGACACATTGAAGAATACAGCGATAACAGCCTTTGTCTTGTTTCCTTGGCTCAAACGGGTGGTTTTTGTTAAGTATTTTGCCAGAACAGATAAGGGATGAGTGCCAGGAGAAAACAAGTCTTTCAGTACAGTCCAACTCTGTAATCAGAAACTTCACGCCTGCATTCACAGCTCATCTTTGCTTCCTTTGTCCGGAAGCTGAGATTCTGCTTCATTATAAACGTCTTTAAGTTGTGTCTCTCAACTCAGCCAATCCCTGCTTCCTAACCCAAACTGTGCTTTATCCTCAATTCTCTGCCTGTGAATGCATACATCAACTGTATGCATTCGTCTATTGTGCAGCTAGCTATTGTTCTATTATACAGAAAATTAAATACATTAACTGGCGTGTAAGCTCTTTATTCACTGACTGTGATTCTGMTTACTGAGAGGGTCTGCGTGACAAACAGTTTAGCTACAGTCTATGTTTACATTTACTTTGTTTTCCCTTGCTCATCCTGACTCTAAACCCATTAAAATATGACTAAACTGTTTCCAAGCTAGGGTTAGGCATAATCGTATCGTGTGTGATTAATCGTCAGAAAAACATTAATCCATTAATTTTTGGCACTTGACAATTAATACGATTAATGCCAACAGGTAGAATCCGCTCGCTGCTCCTCTCAGCTTCAAATATGACAAACATTAAAAAAAGTTCTGTAACTTATTTATCTATCAACACAATTTAAAATTAGATGTACAGCCTGAAGTCTGTAATTTTGACACAATTTGGAACAGATTTTTATGAAGAGAAAATCTTTCCCACTAAATTGGTCATGTGACTATGAAATAAGGGTGTCCAGGGATTCCAGGGGATTAATCGTCAAATTAATCGTTATCAGCTGAATACCACAATTAATCGTGATTATTTTTTTTGCTAATATTGCCCAACCCTATTCCAAGCATCAGCTGAATGTGTCTGACAGAAGCAGTCAGGGTTCTGCTCACTGAGGAGGAACATTATGATGAAGATCGTACTAATGGGCTCAGTCAGAAAGAAAGAAAGCAAAGTTAACAAGCACGGACCCCACAGCATGGGGTAAGGTTGTTCGTAGACGTACAATTAACCTGGATCATTTGACTTTCTGCCCAGAGACCCAGAACCTTTTACACAGTGGAAACCATTTATTATGGTTTAGTTGAATTTTTATTTATAGTTGTATGTATGTGTATAGAATTATACATATATGTCTGTGTGTAAATGTGTGTTATGAACACTGGAAGAAAGTGGATCATGATGCTGGTTAATGTTGAACTATGTGACAAATTTAAAAATACTTGTGATTGAAATACAAGCCATCTTTCTATCCAATTTTAATGCAAATTTGGATTTAATTTTTAAAATGTCAAAAAAAGGGAAGAAAAGAGAAAATGCAAATAAGACGTGTTTCCATCTACTGGCATGGAGCGAATCAATCAGGCCGTGCAAAGTGTGATTACGTCAGACGTTGATGCTATACATGGCTGTAGGAAACTGGAAGCAAAGTCGCAAACTTGCATGGATACACATCTCAGGACAATGGAGAGAAGTTATCAGGAACGTGTTGCTACTATCAGGAAGGTTGTAATTATTCTGTCATATCAACTAGTATTGGACATGTTACGTGCTGTTTGGAGACATAGAAAAAGAAATGTGATTCTCTTCAAGTTCTGGGAATATCTGGGAAGATGTTGACAGCGGGAGGAAGGTCCACCAAATGTGTTTCCATCTCCCCTTTTGGTCATTAACTCTTTCTCTGAAGATACAAAAACCACCTCAAACAAGCGTAAAAACTTTTTTTTGCAAAATTGAGGACGTTTTGGCAAATTTTGCCGTTTCCATCCAGCTTTTCTAATGCAATAATTCAAAATGCACATAAAAAACATTGATGGAAACACGGCTATAACCATTGTGATGCAATGATAATTAAGTTAAGGCCAGTAGATTCCTCTATAAAAAAATTCAAATACAAAACTTATGGTTATTCAGTCACTAATAACTATAGAAAAGAAAAACAAATAGGAAGAAATGTAGGGTTTATTCAGTTCAAATGATTTGTACTTTAAGTACCCGCAAAACCAAATGTAGGACATAGCTAAATGCCCTCACCTTCAGAAAATAAATGATAAAATAATTACAGGATAACCACAGTTGCATCCCTTACATAAACTACATTTAATTTGAACAGGAAGCTTTCATCTTTTTCTTTCCAAAGAACCCAAGTTCACGTCAAGGTCATGTTGAGAGACCACAACATTTTGTCTACTGTAGCCTGAAGAGCAAACACAGAACCGGCCTAATCAAATCAAACGTCTTTCAAAAAGAAAAAAAAACGAGTATCGGCTTTTCTCTCGAGAATAATCAATGAGACGCTTTGTTTGTGGCGTTTGGGCGCCGGCCGGAGAGCAGAACCTGTTTGCTCAAATTCACACAAATTCACACTGCCCAAAGTTACCAGATCCCTGTTCTGGCACCGGGCAGGTTTAAACAAAAGTGCCAAGCGAGGGAGGGGGAGAGGGGTAGTCGTAGAGGAAGTGAGTCTGAGAAGCATGTTTGACACGGATTTAAACCCTCAGCTTTCAGTCAGCCCATTCCAGGGCAGTAATAATACGGGAGCTAAGAGGAGGAAATCGGGGTTTAAAAATAAATAAATCAAAGCACAGACGTAAGAGTTGCTCCTTTAATTTACACTTCACTGTAAACACCCACATAAAACTGTGGACACAAGGCAGGCATATAGGTGTAGAGAGAGGGAAACTACTTAAAACAGCATCATGGATTCATAGCAGAACTATCAGGGTGCTGAAGTGCCATCATGAAACAAAACATCCAGCTAGAATCTTACATCGGACAAGAGTGGGACAACATTCAGCTAAAAAAAACAGTAGTCCAACAACTGGTATCTTCAGTTTTAGACATTTGTGTGTTGTTAAAAGGAAGAAGATGCTTCATAGTAATAAACAAAGCCCTGTGCAAAATGTTTGGAGATGAGTTGCTGCCATCAAAATTATTTTATTTTCTATTTCTTAGTTTAAAGATCTGATATCGTTACAATGTTCTGATGTGCATAAAAATTTCATGCAATAAAATTATCTATCTAATCTATTTTATGGTAAAATAGAGGTTTATGAGATTTGCAAACAATTACATTCTGATTTTATTTACATTTTATGTAACTTTGCAACTCTTTGTGAACTGTGGTTGTTTTTTTCCCCATTTGGTTACAAAGGACGTATTTTGTAACTTGATCCCACACACTTGTTACATCTCTTTACCAATTCAAGAAAGAAACTATGATACTATGAAGCAACAGTAACCAGAACAACACAGGTCTAAATAAACAAGGGCTCTTAAAGGTTAGGCCATGTATAAGGAAGGCATCTCCTTAATTACATCCCCTGCCAATTCACATTCTTGGATGCGGGCGCGGGCACAGATCCAGAGGTAGATGCAGCCCTGGGAAACTGAGCGCGAGGAGAATCTCCTCTCAAAGGAGCCAGACCCTCCTTGAAAGGGTTCATTCTCCATGGAAGTATCCTGCGCTCCAAATGCAGGGTAAGTGGTGCCTCTCAGGGCCAAAGAGGAGGAAAAATGGGAATGCTTATTTGGTAACAAGACAAGGTGCCAGTTCTGAAGTGTGACGCTGCTTTCAGCCTGCAGGCCGACCCCTCTGGGCCTCTGGGTGCCAGGAATGCTCTCCGTTTGGGATGTGGCGCCAGGGAAAAAGATTAAACGTACACTGTGGCCGCCGCAGGACTGCCAAGGCTTTGTAGCACTGTGAGTGTGAATCCATACGTCAGT